GCGTCTCCTGGTGGAGTACATCTTCCGCCTCCTCCCTCGTCTTCGACTTGCGCTAACGCTCTCGCTTCCCGCAGAGCCTCCCTCGGCATGGATCGACGCTCACGTCGGCGTCGACCTCGGCTTCACCGCTCCCTCCTGGTGGGGTGTCATCTCGCTCCCTTCGCGCGGCTGGACGTGCGACGGCTCGGGCAAGGACGGATGGTCGATCGACTGGCAAGGTAACGGTCGTCCTTCGTGGGCTCCCTCGGGTTGGCTTTGGTTCGGCGGGTGCGTCTTGTCTTTGCTCTCCTCCACCGCTCCTCGTTCGCTTGCTGATTTGGACTTGTCTCTACAGGTCGATCGGCTGGGCTCCTCCCGCATCCTGGTCCTGCTCCTCGACTTGGCAGATCCCCTCGCAATGGTCGTCGGTGTGGCGCGTCTCCTGGTGGCAGCCGGGCGCCGCCTGGCTTACCTACCACCAGAAGCATGACTTTGGCTGGTCAATCCCAAGCTGGTGGGGTCTTCCCTCGTGCGGCTGCTCGTGCGGTTGCGGCGCCAAGACGTCGCCTGCTTTGTCGTCCATCGTCCCTTCGACTACGTCTCGCGCTCCTTCGACTACGTCTCCCGCTCCTTCGACTACGTCTCGCGCTCCTTCGACTACGTCACGCCCCGCCCAGACTACAACATCCCTCCCGACCACTACCTCACCGCAGAAGCCGTCAACCACGCTCAAGACATCGTCTTCTGCTTCGTGCACGTCCTCGACGAAGGCTGCCGCGACCACGACGCGCAAGGCCTCGACGACGACGCACAAGGCTTCGAGCTCGACGCACAAGGCTTCTTCGACGAAGAAGGTTTCGACGACCAGCAAGAAGCCGTCGACCAAGACCTCGGTGCAGGCGACTACCACGTACAAGCCGTCAACTCAGACGATCACGGTCACAGCTCCCGGCCAGATCGTCACAGTTACCGAGACGCACAACCTTCCCCCTCCTCCGGCGCCGACCAGCCGTCCCGGTCAGGGCTGGGAGTGCAGCGGTTCGGGTGACGACGGCTGGGATGTTGACTGGCAAGGTAACGGATGCCCGTCGCACCTTCCGAGCGGCTGGAAGTGGTGGGGAGTGTGAGTCTCGCATAGCGCTTTCTCCTCTTCCTGCTCGCACTGACGCTGCTCTTCGCAGCTCGATCGGCTGGGGTCCTTCGAAGGGCTGGGACTGCGGCTCGAACTGGACGCCGTCACCCGCAGAAGTCGATTCGTGCTCGAAAACTCAATGGTGGACGCCACCTCCCTCGCTCCAGCTTCCTTCCGGCGTCGAGTGCCCCGCCGGCTGGATTTCGATCGGATGGATCGACCAACGCAGGCCGTCGGCGTCGTGGACTTGCGACGGAACCGGCCGCGACGGCTACGACTTCGACCACTTTGGCAACGGGCGTCCTTCGTACCTCCCCGTCGGCTGGAAGTGGTGCGTCGCAGTCGATCAGTGTTCAGTTTTCGCTATACTGACGCTTTATCGTTCTCAGGTTCGGCCAGCTTCACGGCTGGCAGCCTTGCTCTTCTTTCCAGCTTCCCTCGTCGACCTGGTCGCCACCCTCGTCGTGGAACCCGAACCTCGCAGTCTGGTGGCAACCTCGCGCCGCTTGGACTCTCCGAGGCAACTTCCGCTGCCCTCGTTGGTGGAACCGCGGCCATCTTCGTGGCTCGTTCCGCTGGTGGTAGACGCGCGGTTCTCCGGACCCTCCTTTGACAGACACTCCTCTAGGTTTCCTCGCGGTTTCTCTCCCTCCGCAGTAATCGTCGCTCTCTCCATCCTGTACTACTCTCTGCGAATCTAAGCAGGCGCTCGTGGCCGTCCTCGCACCCTGACCTCTTGCGAAGGTCAACTGCTCTCGACGACGAGGAAAGCCTTCGTTTCGCTTCGCTCCTGGCTCGTTCGTCCTTGCAAGCTCCTTATAGTCCGTCCAGCACTCCAGCGGCGCCGAACGTACACCTTGCGATTCCCTCCCCCTCATCGCGGGGCGACCCTCGTAGCGCATCTACACCCGCTTGCACTTCCTCAGCAACTCCCTCTCCCACTCCAACCACCCGTCCTGATCCCGTCCCTCGACTTCCCGTCCCTCCTTCTTCGCCTTGGCCTGCTCTTCAATTGCCTTCTCCAGCGTGCTCCACTCGACGCACCCGCCTGTGAAGGTCTCGAGCTCCAGCCCGTCCGCCGCCTTCTCCTTCACGACATCCGCTTCCTCTCCTTCCTTCTTCTCCGCGCCATCGCCAGCTGAGAGGACAGTTGAGGCGCTCGGCGGCTCGAGCACGAACTCGCCCTGCCGTGTTCGCGTGAGCTTGACGACGTGTGCGACGGAACCGAGGGCGAGGCCGATGTCGTGCACGATGGAGCGGATGTAGGTGCCGGAGGAGACGGTGAGGTGGATCTCAAAGATAGGAGGGCGGGAGACGGTGGAGTCTGCTTGGTCGAGCGACGGTGAGCAACGAAGGCAAGGGTAGGGAACGTGCAACGCACCTGAAGGCCCTGCCTCGCTCGTGTTCGCCTCAGCAGGCGCACTCGTAGTCGCATCCTCATCACCCTGCGCAACATCCTCTTCGCTAGGCACCGTTGTCCGTCCCTCCTTGACCATCTTCTCCAATCGCTCCAGCTCCTTTTTCTTGTCCTCCTCCAACTCCTCTTTGGGGTACTCGTATGTGTGCTCGTCACCGTTTGCGAAGCGCAGGAGCTCAAGCGAGTGGACGGTGACTTTTCGAGGAGGGATGGGGCGGGGAAGAGGAGTGTTGCTGCGGGCGTATTCGTAGAGAGGTTTGCCGTCCATCTTCAGCGCGGAGTAGCTGGCGCAAGAGTCGAGAGCGTCAGTTCATCTCCCGCAAACTGGTAGAACTGAAGTCGGACGCACACAGGCGGCGTCTGCTCAATCTCTCCCCTGAACCGTCCCAAGACCTCCTCGACCTTCTCCTTCGTGATGCCTTGCCAGCTCGCCATCTTGACCCGCTTCCCGTCAGAGTCGTAGCTGTCAGTCGAGCAGCCGAGAAGACCGATAGCGCGGTACTCTTTCGTGCAGTCGAGAAAGCGGGAGAGGGATTTCGTCGCTGCGTTCGTGCCGACAACTGCAGCAGATTCCGGGTCAGCAAGCGTCGACGGGAGCGCAAGGGCTAGTGCTCACCGAGTACACCGTCTGCGAGCGGATCAAGCGTCCCTCCCTGGCCCATCTTGACCTTGTCGGCCCTCCTGCCCCTACCCTTCTTGCCCTTCTTCCACCCCTTGCCTCCCTGATCCTGCTCATTCGCATTGTTAGGGTCCCTGAAGAGCTCCGACGCGGAGAACAAGGGCTGCAAGCGGTTGAGGAGCTGCAACGAGGGCGAGTTCAGCGAGGAAGGGAGGAGGAAAGCGAGAACGGCGCACCGTCATCGAGGGGACGCCTGTCGGCTTGTTCAGCCCAAAGAGGGCGCTCAACGGAGCGTTCCCAGCCTTTGGCATCGTCGCTTCGAGCTGTTTGAGCGGCAAAGTGAGCGGTTCTCGTCCAAGGGAGGTCTCTCGCGGCGACAGTCACCTCGACTGGCTCAGGAGGGACTGCGACTGCTGCTAGACTCTTCTACGGATGGCCACTGCACCACCCACACTGCGCGACCGCCAGCTCGCGGCGTTGCAGTCGCTCCTCGCCCTCAACAGCCCCACCGCATCGACCTCGACCTCGCACGGCGCACAGGGCGGACAGGCGGGCACGCTGAGCCTCAGCGGACAAGGGCAGCTCCCGACATGGAAGGTCCTCGTCATGGACAAGGTCGCGCAGGACGTGCTGGCGACCAGTCTCCGCGTCCAGGACTTGCGCGCCGCGGGCGTCACCCTCCACCTGTGAGTTCGCGTGGACTCGCTTGAACGTTGTTTTCTGAGTGCTTTCACGGTCTGAGCCGGGCGCTACGCTCCCTTGAGTCGTGGGAGTGCGGAATGCGGACATGACGCGTGTCAGGCGGAACACTCGTCTTGGCGACCTGGCAGAGCTAGAGACAGGATGAGAATGCGTGGAAATAATCGAAAACGACTCGATACAGGCAATTGCACTCGGACCGACCTGCGCTGCCCGACGTTCCCGCCATCTACTTCGTCTCCCCCACCTCTGCCAACGTCCAACGCATTGCAGCCGACTTGCGAAAGGGTCTCTACGCTTCGACCTACGTCAACTTTACCAGCGCGTTGCCGCGGCCGCTGCTGGAGGAGTTTGCGGAGACCGTCGCGAAGGATGGGACGGTCGAGGGGGTCGAGCAGGTGCGCCGCAGGCTCGCTTTGGTTCGCCAAGAAGCTTGCTGAGCATCCGCTGACAATTCCGTTTTCCCGTACTCTGCAGGTCTACGATCAACACCTCGACTACCTCGTTCTCGCACCCTCGCTCTTCTCGCTCGCTCCCTCCGTCTCGACCGCTTCCACTTCCGCAGCACCCTCGACCTCCTCCAACGCCCTTCAACCTTCCGCCACCGCCGCATCTGACGTCCGAACGACGTATGAGAGGTTGAACGAGGCGCGGGCGAGCGAGGAGGACATCGAGGAAATCACGGACAGGGTTGCGAAGGGTCTCTTCTCGGTGTTGGTGACGATGGGTGCGTTGCGTCTCCTTGTGCGATGGCTCCGCTGCCTTGCACAAGTCAGTCATACACGTCCTTCGACTAAGCGACTGAACATGATCTCGCCGCAGGTCAACTGCCCATCATCCGCGCACCGCGAGGGAACGCCGCCGAGATGGTCGCCCGGAAACTCGACTCGCGACTTCGGGATCACATGGCGAGCTCGCGGGGAGTCAACGCTTTTTCGGGCGGTGTTGGCGGAGACGGATCGTTTGGAAGGCCTTGTGAGTCCAGGTCCTGCAGCTCAACCGTTCGGATCAGTCCCCGAGCTACTGGATGGAGCCGGGCTGTTGACTTTCAGGGAAAGGGACTGACAAGTCGCTTGGCAGTGCTCGTCATTCTCGATCGCAACGTCGACCTCGTCCCGATGCTCTCGCACAGCTGGACCTATCAGGCGCTTGTCAACGACGTTCTCGGCATGAAGCTCAACCGCGTTACTGTCGAGGTAGGCTGGCATGGGCCGAGCCCCAGCGATGTTGAGGCTGACGGAGTGTACTCGTCCGCGTGCTCACAGGCTCCCGATGCCGGCAAGCTCAGCAAGAAGACGTACGACCTCGATGCCAAGGACTTCTTCTGGGCCAAGAATGCGCAGAATCCGTTCCCGCAGGTTGCGGAGGAGATTGACCTCGAGCTGAACAAGTGCGTCGGCGACTCTTCTTCCTGGACGACCCGTTCTTGGTCGCTTCGGACGATCGAGGACAGGTTTGGAGTCATGAAGAAGTCGCATACCGACGCTCGTTAGCGTGCAGGTACAAGCAGGACGCAAACGAGATTACGCGGTCGACGGGCGTGAGCGATGTCAACGACCTGGCTCAGGTGTACGTCCCGCCCTATCCTCCTCACTCACGCAAGCTCACGAGCTGGCCTTCCGTACAGCGACCTCACCTCGAACGCCGCGAACCTCAAAGCCGCCATCACCGCCCTCCCCGAACTCACCGCCCGCAAAGCGACGCTCGACACGCACATGAATATCGCGACGGCGCTCCTGCAGGGTATCAAGGAGCGAGGATTGGACGAGTTGTTCCAGATGGAGGAGGCGATCACGAAGCAGGTGCGTCGGCTCATCTGCCTTGCGCGATTCGACGCATCGCGTACTGGCAGTGCTCGATCGGGCCGTTTTCGCAGAAGTACAGGAGCTGACCCGCGACACTCTCGCAGACTAAGCGCGAATTGCTCGAAGCCGTGCGCGACCCGACCAAGTACAAGCCGGAGGACAAGCTGCGCCTGATGCTTTGCTACTACTTCTCGATGCTCGCGAGCGGGTCGGACAAGGGTTTCTCGCGCGACGACTTGGCGGAGTATGAGCGGGCGTTGAAGGAGGCTGGGGCGGATATGGGGCCTTGGGAGTATGCGAAGAAGTGAGTCCGGCGCTTCCTCGACTCGAGGCTTGCGCCGTTGCAGGTTAGGTGAGACCCAGCGGCTCACTGACAATGCTTCGTCTTCAGGCTTCGGGACGTGATGCGGATGTCGAGCCTCGGTGCGACATCGGCGCAGCCTGCGCCCAGTACGGCCGGAGGCGACCTGATGCGCGGCTTTAGCTCGCTATCGAACCGAGTGCGTCCATCGTCAGTCGCCTGACGCGAGCGCAGGGACTGACTCGAACTCGTCCTGCAGCTGACGGACCGGCTTCGCGATGGCGGCATCGGCGGTGTCGGCCTCGACAACCTGATCTCGGGCGTCAAGAACTTCCTCCCCGCCCGCAAGGATTTCCCCGTAACGCGCATCGTCGAGGCTCTCATGGACCCGGCATCGGCGTCGACACAGGCGTTGCAAGACACGGACGACTACCTGCTCTTTGACCCTCGTTCTGGCGGCCGCTCTGCCCGACCTGCTGCAGCGACGCAGGGACGAGGCCGTCAGCAGTACACGGACGCGATCGTCTTCACCGTCGGAGGTGGCAGTCTGGTCGAGTACGGCAACCTGAACGACTACATGATGCGGAGCGTGCCGGGCGGCGGCGGGAGCGGGATCGCGGGTGCTGGTGGACAGGCGGGTGGACAGCCGCAGGGATTGCCGACGAGGCGGATCACGTACGGTAGTACCGAGATCCTCACGCCGAGCGATTTCGTCAAGGCGCTGGGCAGCCTCGCGCGGACGTAGTGAGCCGGTCTCCGTCCGTCCGCCCTCGCTTCCCCTCCGATTCTCTCTCTCTCTCCGTTGCGTCTGGTTGTTCGAGGACTGCAATGCCCGTTCTTCGTTGTCGTTATCGCGCTGCTGCAAAGCTCGAAGAGAACGATCGCCCTCTTGACCGCGTCACTCGCATGGTCGACCAAGATTAGCTGTTTGCTCTCTTGCACGCCACTCTGCTACGGTACAGCTTGCACGAAGCCACTGCTCGCTATGCCTGCGCCGGACTACGACTACCGCCAGAGCTCTGTCGACGACGACCGCCGCAGGGCGCAAGAGGTGTGGGAGCGAGTTGAACGAGGGAAGCGGGATACCCGGCCAGCATCGCAGGGCGAGGAAGCGGGGGCGAACGGTGCAGACGGGTCTGCTGATGGCCAACACGACTCGAAGCAGGACAGCGCGGCGAGGAGCATCCAGTCTCGCTATCGGCATCATGTCGACCAGCGGACCGCCAACGGCTGCAACATGAGCTCGTCGAAGCGGTGGAAGGACGGGATGAAGCAGCGTCAGATGTCTGAAGCAGGGCACGACCAGGACAAGGGAAAGAACGATGCCGCCTCGCGCTGGAGACGAGGACAGGTCTACGCCTCGCAAATCACGGACGGGAAGTCGGCGGCGGGCGCGCAGGGTCAGGAGGGCGAGCTCAGTGCAGAAGAGGAGATGGAGGCGCTCGGCCGGACGGACAAGGAGAAGAAGAAGATCCGCAAGGAGCGTGTCGAGGCGAAGCAGCTCGAGGCGCAGTACTGGCTCGAACTGGTGCGCAGCGTCTTTCCGAGCGTCCTGTGCTTCGTTAACTGATTCCTTGCTCTCGCAGGTCGACCGCAAGCACCGCTACGCCTCGAACCTCAAATTCTACCACCAGAAATGGAACGAGACAGACACGGACGACAACTTCTTCCACGTTAGTTCGCTTCACGCCCTCGTGCTGGTTTCAACTGACGCTTTTGCGCTCACAGTGGCTCGACGAAGGCGACGGAAAGGACCTCGACCTTGAGGAGTGTCCGCGGAAACGCCTCGAATCCGAATGCATCACCTACCTCACCGCCGAGCAGCGCGAGATGTACCGCGTCGAGGTCAAGGACGGCTTGCTCGTCTGGGCCAAAGACGGCCAGCCGCTCGACACCTCCAAGTACCACGAGGATCGCGGACCGGACAAGGGCGGGATCGTCGCGATTTCGGAGGAGGAGTACGAGGAGAACCGGAGGAAGGAGAACGAGAAGATGAAGAAGCTTGCGGAGGCGGGGCAGGGAGACATCAGTAGCAGCGACTACGACAGCAGCTCGTCGAGCTCAAGTTCGGACGAGGCGGACGAGGTGCGTGAGGGTGTGCGAGCGTACGGCGACAAGGTGTGCCGCTTTCCCTTCCGAGTCCTCGGTGCCTTCGTTGACCGGGTGTGCGCGCTACAGGGCGGAACGGCTGGACACGGCAAGGGCGTCCGTCAAGCGAAAGAGCGAGTCAGATACTACCTCTCTCCGAAAGCGGTCATGGATACCATGCTCCGCAAGACCGTCAACAAGAACACGTGAGGGCTTACCATCCTGCGCTTTTGCCCCCTCCTTTCTCCGCTGACAGGGCCCTCGCCTTCTGGGATCGCTGGTTCTGTCATTCCGGCAAACGCAGGTGGCTGTACGTTTCCGACTTGCAGAACAACCTCTACGTCGGGATCAAGAAGACGGGCTCGTTCCAGCACTCGTCCTTCCTTTACGGCGCTCGCGTCACTTCCGCCGGTGCGTTTGATCCGTCTCGATGCCTTGCTCTCACTCACGAACTCTGACCCCCAGGCCTCATCAAGGCTTCGAAAGGACACCTGACTTCCCTCTCGCCGCTCTCGGGCCACTACCGCGCCGGCACGATGCACTTCAAGTCGTTCGTCCGCTCGCTCGAAGACCAGCACGTCGACATGTTGAAAGTCTCGATCTCCAAATCGGTGCTGACGATCCGCGGCATCGAGAAGTACGGCAAGTTCACGAAGAAGAAGAAGAACCTCAAGGAGCGGTTCAAGGCGAGCGTGCTGAGGAAGGAGACCGAGTCGGAGAAGCAGAAGGAGGAGGGGCAGAAGGAGATTGATCGGATCCGGAATGAGGAGAAGGGAGAGGGCGAGCAGGAGCACGAGAAGGAGATGAATGATGGCCGGGAGAAGGCGAGCAAGGAGCGCAAGAAGGAGGACAAGCCGTTGCCGGGCGAGGGGAAGAAGGTCGAGGAGATGACGGAGGAGGAGCGGACGGAGCGGGGCGTCGCGCTCGTGCAGCGGGCGTTCGAGCGCGGACTCAACCTCGATTCGAAGGGCGGGACGGGACAGGAGGACGCGGAGTCGAGCTCGTCCAGCTCGTCCAGCTCGAGCAACGACGAGGAAACCTAGCGATTCCAGCGTTCGATGTCTTCCTCTGTCGTCTCCCGCTCTCGTAGGTCTACTGCGTGTGTGCTTGTTGTGTCCTATATTGCTACATTGGAATCAGACCATCGAAATCAGATTGCTAACGTTGAACCTGCGAAACTTCTGCGCGTCTCGCTCTCTCGACGCCCGCAAACAATCTCCCGAGCCGCCTCTTCAGCCGCTGATCTCGACCTTGTTCTGCGCCTCAAGAGCAGTCAGTCTCGAGACCGGAAAGCTTGCAGACGGAGCGGCGCACCTTGTAAAATGCGACGTATCCCTCGATATCCTTCGCCTTGTCCTTCGCCTGCGGGTAGTACCACGCGACGTCCGACACCTTCTTCCCGTTCACGTCGGCGTTGTAGTAGCTCGCGACGCCCTGGAGAAGCGAAGGACAAGCTTGTGAGCGCAGAAGTCGACGAGACTGAAGAAGAGAGCGGGCGCACCTTCCATCCGCAAGTCGTGTGCGTCTGCGAGTCGGTGAAGAATTCGCGCTTGACGTCGGACGGCGGGCTTTTTGAGTCGCAGGAAGGCAGGATGAGCGAGATCAGGAGGAGCCGAGGTGGGGATGAGGATGAGGTGAGCATCGGCGAGGACAGGGCGGGTGGAGTGGGTGTGTAGCTCACAAGTACTGCAGCGAGAGCATGGTCAGCGTGACTGCAAGTCCTGCGAAGCCCAGGGAACGAGCGCACATGGTTCCCCTCGACGACCTTGGTCTGGGACGATTCCGCGAGAGTCTGGCCATTGAGCTTGACGGTGACCATCTTAGCTGAGCGAGAAGAGTGGAAGAGCGCGCGGGGCAAGCGGGAAAGAGCAAAGGGAGCCGTGGTGGGCGAGCGAGGTGAAGTGAAGGAGGAAGAGAAGAGAGGCCGAGAGGGCGACATGGGCATCGGAAAGCTTTGTCGAAATCGTGGACAGCCTTCGCCTTGAAAAAGCTTCCAGAAAGCCAGGCAGACTCGCAGAACCCGCGGAGGGACGGCAATAAGAATAGATTCCGCTCGTAGCCCGCGTCTACTTGACCTGGGCCTCTTGCCCCAGCTTGCCCTGAGCCACGAGCTCGCCCTTCAGCTCCTTCATCACTGTGTGACGTCGAGTGTCAGCGCTTCGGGGCAGAAGGCACAGACTGAGGTGGAGAACACGGCGAACGTACCCTCTTCTGCGATCTCCTTCAGCCGCGCCTCGTCCTTCCCAATCAGCGAGACGTCGACGCCTGCCATGAGCTTGGGGTAGCTGCCAACGCGCTGTAGGTTGCAAGCGAAGTCAGCGGACACAGACACCCAGAAAGCGAAGGGAGAAGACGCACAATCATCTCCTTCCGCACTCGCTCCTGCAAGGACGTGAGGAACGGCGCGATCGAGCTCTCAGGCATCCTGTGAAAATATCACGTCAGCGTTGTTGGCGCACGAAGAACGGAAAAGCATGCGAGACGGACTTGGTGTGCACGAGGACGCGGAAAGGCTTCTCCGAAGCAGGCGGTAGCGGGATGAAGTGCGAGACGAGTCCCTCGACGAGCCGCTCGAACAGTCTTGGTACGCCAGGGAGGATGCAGACCTTTCCGCCCAAGCGAACGACCGGTACCCAGCTGCATGAGGACAGTCAGGAGAGATAGCGAGAGATGGAAGGCAAGGTGCGCAACTCACAGGTCCTCCTGTACAAAGAACACCTCCGCATTCTGCGGGAAACGCGCCATCCGCAGTCGCGCCTGCTTCTGCTCCTCAGTCTGCTCGTCCATTTTGTACCTGTGCTTGCCCATCTCGTACATCCTCCGCTGCGTCTCCTCGTGCAGCTCGAGGTCAACGCCGAAGGCTTTGGCGATGCTCATGTAGGTGATGTCGTCGCTGCGAGCGCACCCGTCAGGAAAGGGCGCTTCGCGCGGAAAAGATACGGATGGAGACCCACTGGGTTGGCCCGATTCCTCCAGACGTCACGACGAGGTCGTAGTTCTTGTGCATTCGCTGCACCGCCTCGATGATCTCGTCCTCGTCGTCGGCAATAACCTCGATGCGCTTCAGGTCGATGGCGAGGTCGAAACACATCTTGGCGAAGAAGTTCGAGTTCGAGTCGCGGGTCTTGCCTGTGAGCGACATGCAAGGCTTGTTCAGTCCATTGTTCCTGCAGACCAACACGCTCGTTGAGGGAGCAATCCCGCTCATCTCGACGACATGAGATGCGAGAACGACCGGGACTCACCGTTCAGCACCTCGTCTCCAATGACCAGCATCGCAGCGCTCTTGACATACTGTCCCTCCTCAAACTTGGGCGGCTGCGACAGCGGAAAAGTGGGAGCGTCCGTCATCAAGTTGCGGGCGGCGACAGCGATCGAAGGGCGGGCGGCGAATGCGAGGTGTGCGGCGACGGAGCGTAGGCGCGAGCGGGAGGCAGCGAGCATGCAAGCGCAGCGAGTCGAGCTGGAAGTGAGCGTGTGGTCGAGGAGAAAGAGCGAGACGACGAGGGTCGGCCCGAGATGAGGGGGAGTAAATTGCAAGGCGCACGCTGGGCGCCGCGACAGTACTCGAGAGGCTCGGGAGAGCGCAAGAAGGTGGACGAGGTAGGAGCGAAGCGAAACGAAGGCTTTCCTCGTCGGTGAGAGCAGTTGACCTTCGCAAGAGGTCAGGGTGCGAGGACGGCCACGAGCGCCTGCTTGGATTCGCAGAGAGTTACAGAAAAGAGTGACGATTACTGCGAGGGGAGAAGCACGGCGAGGAAACCTAGAGGAGTGTCTGTCGAAGGAAGGAGTGTCCGGAGAACCGCGCATCTACCACCAGCGGAACGAGCCACGAAGATGGCCGCGGTTCCACCATCTAGGGCAGCGGAAATTGCCTCGGAGAGTCCAAGCTGCGCGAGGTTGCCACCAGACTGCGAGGTTTGGATTCCACGATGAGGGTGGCGACCAGGTCGACGAGGGGAGCTGGAAAGAAGAGCAAGGCTGCCAGCCATGAAGCTGGCCGAACCTGCGAGCGATAAAGCGTCAGTATCCTGATTTGCGATGGGTTGGGCTAGCGCGACTCACCGCTTCCAGCCGACGGGCAGGTACGAAGGCCTGCCGTTGCCAAAGTGGTCGAAGTCGTAGCCGTCGCGGCCGGTTCCGTCGCAAGTCCACGACGCCGACGGCCTGCGTTGGTCGATCCATCCGATCGAGGTCCATCCGGCGGGGCACTCGACGCCGGAAGGAAGCTGGAGCGAGGGAGGAGGCGTCCATCAGTGAGTTTTCGAGCACGAGTCGACTTCAGCGGGTGACGGCGTCCAGTTCGAGCGGCAGTCCCAGCCCTTCGAAGGACCCCAGGCGATCGAGCTGCAAAAGAAGCGTCAGTGCGAGCAGGAAGAGGAGAAAGCGCAACTCGTAACGCACACTCCCCACCACTTCCAGCCGCTCGGAAGGTGCGACGGGCATCCATTGCCCTGCCAGTCAACTTCGCAGCCATCGCTGCCGGATCCGCTGCACTCCCAGCCCTGACCGGGACGGCTGGTCGGCGCCGGGGGAGGGGGAAGGTCGTGCGTCTCGGTGACTGTGACGATCTGGCCGGGAGCTGTGACCGTGATCGTCTTGGTCGACGGCTTTTGCGTTGTAGTCGCCTGCAACGAGGTCTTGGTCGACGGCTTCTTGCTGGTCGTCGAAACCTTCTTCGTCGAGGAAGCCCTGCGCGTCGAGCTCGAAGCCTTGTGCGTCGTCGTCGAGGCCTTGTGCGTCGTGGTTGCGGCAGCCTTCGTCGAGGACAACGTGCACGAAGCAAAAGATGATGTGTTGTGCGTGGTTGACGGCTTCTGCGGCGAGGTAGTGGTCGGGAGGGATGTCGTGGTCTGGGCGGGGCGTGACGTAGTCGAAGGAGCGCGAGACGCAGTCGAAGGAGCGCGAGATGTAGTCGAAACAACGATGGACGACGAAGCAGGCGACGTCTTGGCGCCGCAACCGCACGAGCAGCCGCAGGAGGGGAGACCCCACTAGCTAGGGACCGACCAGCCAAAGTCATGCTCCTGGTGGTAAGTGAGCCAGGCGTCGCCGGGCTGCCACCAGGTCGCACGCCACACCGACGACCATTGCGAGGGGATCTGCCAAGTCGAGGAGCAGGACCAGGATGCGGGAGGGGCCCAGCCGATCGGCCTGGGTAGACGAATCCTAGACAGCGAGTGCGCGATGAAATGAAGAGTTATGGAAGTTCGCGACGCACGAGCCACACCAAAGCCGTTCGCGGAAGGAGAGACGCCGAGGGCGCAGAGGAGGAGTGCAGTGGCTCGGCTGCCATTTGCGCTCCCTACGGCGCTCGAATTGAGCCTGTCATCTTTCAAGCGTCGCAGCTGCACTAAGCCTCGCCTAGCCTGCCCGCAAAGCGGTTGGTCCAACAGCAGTGAAGCGACGAGGAGAACGAGGGTGGCAGAACCGCGAGCATCGCTTGGGGCGCGCTGGCCAGCAGCCACTAGCCTCTGCGGGTCCCTAGCGAGTGACAGCAGTCCACGACAAGCCACCCAGCGGTGTGAGCCAGCATCGTCGTCTCCCAACCTTTGCTTCGCCCTTCACGCCGCACTCCGCTTTTCATTCACACCTGCTCGTGCTGCTACTCGACCAGCCCGCCATGAAGATCCTCTCGATCCAGATCCTCCACGTCGTGCCCGGCCAGTCGTCGTCGTCGCCTGCAGTTGCCGTCGCCGCCGCTCAGGACCTCTCGTCGTTCTCGTTCTACCAGCGTGGGACGTGAGTCGCGGCGTCCGCTTAAGGATCTTAGGCGTGGCTCAGATGGACTGGCGTGGACGGCGGCCCAGCCGAGCGAGGTTGAGGGATCTCGAAGGACGCGTTGCGAGGGGCACGCGTCATGCAGGCGGCCGCGTGAGGGCGAAGGGGAACGCCCTGGGTCGAGGAGAGGCAGAACTGGCTGTCTTGGCAGCTGCTCGCAACTCTCGAGAGGCGCGGCGGGAGCTGGAAGGTCGACTTGCTTCACCTGGTCTCGCGGACTGAGATGAGGAGAACGCAGGGCTTGCCCGGCTCTGCGGGTGGATATCGTGCTCTCAGAGGAGCAACTAGCACTTATTTGAGCCATGGAGCGGACGAGCGCTGACTGACCGCCTCTTTGACCCCCTTCAACTCACAGCGTCGGCGAGTTCATGACCTTCCTGTCCCGCACTGTCGCCGAACGAACGCCTCCCGGTCAACGACAGTCCGTGCAGGAGAACAACTATACCGCGCACGTCTACTCCCGCTCGTCCGACCAGCTCGCCGGTGTCATCGTCTCCGACCAAGAATACCCCGTCCGCGTCGCCTTCTCGCTTCTCAACAAGATCCTCGACGAGTTCACTACCAAGGTGCAGCGGTCCGAGTGGGAGGCAAAGGCGGCGCAGGGCAGGCAGTCGGGCAAGCAGGTCTTGGTCGATTACCCCGACCTTACGACGTACTTGCAGAAGTACCAGGACCCGAAGCAGGCGGATGCGATCATGAAGGTGCAGCAGGAGCTCGACGAGACCAAGATCATCCTGGTGCGTGGCCCATTGTCGCCGTCGGGCGGACAATGGTCCTGAGCCTGACTCCCGTTTGTCCCTGCAGCACAAGACGATCGAGTCGGTCCTCGAGCGCGGCGAGAAGCTCGACAGCCTCGTCGACAAGTCCGCAGCGCTCTCGGCAAGCTCAAAGTCGTTCTACAAGACCGCCAAGAAGCAGGCGAGTCGCAGCCGCGAATCCTGCCGTTAGTTCGAAGCTGACTTTGCTCGACTTGCAGAATTCGTGCTGCGTTATCGCCTAACGACCTCCCCACCCTCATTCTTTCAGCATCGCATATACCTTTTCCTCCATTCCTCGCCTCACCTACTTGAGCGGCCCGCCTTCGCTCCATTCGCCACATCCCCTCGACCCACTATCCTTCGCCTTCTACGTCTCGTCCATCTCGACCTAATCGAGTTCTCGTCTTCTCCTCCCTTTTTGCGCTCTTGCAGTTGTGCCGCAACCCGCGCTTCCCCTTGTAGTCTGTAATACTCGTTCAGGACGAACTCGCGCATCGCTTTGCCTCTCGAACGCTTACCGGCTCCGCCTGCTCCCTTGGTTGCATCAGAGACGCTGGAGGCAGTCTCGTGGCGTACGGACGAGTACGGCGGTGAATTGCACATCCATGTCTCCTCGAAATTGCCCTTGTCCTCCACCTTGTTCTCCGCTTTGCTCCTTTGACCGCGCTGCTTCTCTCGGAGCTCGTTGAGCACTTCGCAACGCTCGCCAGCTCGCTGATCCGCCGCCCCGCCGCCGCGATGGCGTCGCTCGCAACCTCCTCACGCCAACCTCGCTGGGCAGACGTCTACCGCTGCTTCGCCGCCCTGCGACCGGCGCCAGTCGCCACCCGCGTGACGGAAAGGGCTTTTGCGGATGCGTGGCGTGCAGCGCGCGCTACAGGACGGCGGGGAGTGATGACGACGGTCGTCGGAGGCAGGACTCCTGGGTCGGCACTTTTGGCGGGCGTGAGGGAGCGAGGGAGTGGGATGGCGAGCGTGCGGACAGAGCTGGACAAGCGCTGGATACACTGCACAGCGCCAGGTTGCCCCAACAACCAGTCGACCCGCACCTTCGCCTCTTCCTCACCGTCAAGCTCGTCGAATCCCTCGCCCAACCCTCCTCCGCCTCCCGACCCTCGATCGCCCGACAGATCGAGGCAAAACGCTCTCGCCAAACCAGAGCCGCACCCGCTCGCGAAACCCGAGCCTCACCCCGTCGTCTCGACCTCTGCCCCACATCCCGCCTACCTCTCTTCCCTGTCTCGCTCGATCCGACGAGCAGCAAGCGCCCTTCAGACTCCCGCAGGACGACCACCGCCGAAGGAACAACTTCTCAGCCTGACGAACTCGTTCTTCGAGCGTCTCAAGATCCGCTTCAAGTGGGCGACCATCCGCTCGTACAGGCGGTTCCGCGCCGACGATTACTCGGCGTTCTTCTCATTCGGCATCCTCGGCACCCTCGGATGGTTCCTCCTCTCGACTACGTCCGCCTTCGCCCTCTTCTTCTTCGTCGTCAACTCGCTCTCGCTCCAGGAATGGATCGCAGGCAAGCTCGGATCGTACTTGACCGACTCGACAGGCGTCAAGGTCGTCTTTGAGAGTGCGATTGTGCCCAAGTGGGGCATCTTTGGCAAGGAGGGCAGCAGGATCGTCTTCAAGAACGTCTACATCTCGCGCGGACCGGTCAAGGGCGAACTGGGTGTCTTGCCTGTTCTTGAGCAGGAGCGCACGGATGAGACGGAGGAAGAGGCGCGGCTGCGCGAGATGATCGCAGAATGGACGCACTTCCACCTCAGCATCGACACCGTCGAGGTCAGCCTCAGCCTCGGGCGCTGGCTCGACGGCAAGGGCTTGATTAAGGATGCGGCGGTGCGGGGTGTGCGCGGCGTCATCGGTGCGTACAGAACGTTCGAGTCGCAGCAGGATGTTGGCTGACCTTGCTAGTGGCAGAGCGCTCGCACATCGTCTACGACCCGAACGCGCCGAAGGACCGCTTCGCCTACCGCAACAAGCCTCGACCTGGTGACTTCTGGCTTGAAGGGCTCAAGATTGAAGACTTCCTCGTCACTATCTATCAGCCGGAGAACTTCCGACCGGTAAGTTCGCCCTTACTGCCTTAGGCGAGCTCCTCTCTGACTGGACCTTCTTCTGCAGTACACCTTCTCCATTTTCAACGCCGACATCCCTCGCTTGCGCAAGCAGTGGCTCTTCTACGACCTCATGTCGGCCGAAGCCGTCACAGGCCAGATCGACAACTGTCTCTTCAGCTTGCACAAGCCTCAGTCGATCGGGCGGACGAGCGAGGAGGACTTGAAGGACGCGCGGTGGTCTCGCATGGTGCGTTGACTCATCCCACTCGATCAGGCGTGAGCTGACGGTCTTCTTCGAGCAGTCCCGCTTCCGCATCGATGGCGTTCCCATCGACCACATGCAGTCAACTGCCGACACCGGCGTCCTCTCCTGGATCACCTCGGGCCGCTGCGACCTCGTCGCCGACATCCGCTTTCCTCGCGAGGACACTGAGCTCGACCTCTCGGCGCTTGTCGACCACCTCGTCGACGAGATCGGCGAGCGCCTCTCTCCCTCGAAGGAAGAGTCGGACTCGCCTATCCCGGGTCGGCGATCGCTTTCGCGTGATGCCCTACAGGCGCCGAGGGACGAGGATGCTGAGCAGGTCAAGAAGGAGGAGCGGCTGAAGGCGCTGCGCTTTGCGAAGGAGACGGAGAAGGCGGCTGCTAAGGCGAGTCTGGGCGTAGACGAGGATGATGGCGAGGAGTTGCACGTCGGCGAGGATGAGGAGGACCGTATCGTCTCGATCGACCTTGACATCCGCTTCAAGGACCTCAAGGCGTCTGTGCCAGTGCGTAGCAGTCCGCTTTCTCCCGGCCTCCCTTCCCTGACTCGCCGGCTCCCGCAGTACTTCACGTCCGACCTCTCCTACGTCAACAACGCCCTGATCCGCCCCATTGTCGCCTTCATCAACCGCAACCGCACCCTCATCCCGATCCGCTGCCACATCGACCTTGGCCTGAGCGAGTTCAACGGCAGCTGGACAACGTACGACGTCGGCATCCTCGACCGCATGTCGGAGCAGGTCTACTCAGCGCTGGCGCACCACGTCTCGCAGTCGAACGAGCAGCGGCTGCAGACGGTCGGGCTGTGGACGCTGCAGATGACGGCCAACACGGTACTCGGCGCTCTCAAGAGTAACCTGACTCTCGCGCAGGATCCGCTGTGGCACTGATAGTAGTCCTGCACTGCGACCACACCTCATTCGAGCAAAGACGACGGCCTAGAAGCGCATGCCGCCGAAGAGAGGGTAGAAGCTGCTGTATCCCGTCGACTGTTGTCCTAGCGACTCGACGTGTTTACTGCAGCGTAAACTTGTCAGCCAAATCGAGGAGTTGTGCCGGGCAAACTTCACGCACTCGAAGACCCGCTTCATCGCTCCTTCCTCGGTGTCGACGACGATGGCTGGCTTTTCCGCGCTTGTGCGATGGTATCTCGCTCGGTGGAGGACCTGCGTTACGAACAGCAAGTAAGCGCGCTGACACTCTGACGAACGCACAGACAAATGCACCACGTTGCGCCAGTCGTGCGCGATGGCGGGAGACGCGCACTCGCAGTGCAGGACGTGCCCGAACTCGCCAACCTCCTCGGCCGTGGCGGAAAGTTCTTGCTCCAGGGCGACGACGACGTCGATGGCTGCCTCGATCCGCTCGCGCAGGAGCTGATAGCCGGTCGCGCGGAGTGAATGGTGGCCGACAGAACACTTGTGGGTCAAGATGCCGATGCCGTTGTCGACGTGCTTGCATGCGAGGCACTGGACGATGCAGATGGCTCGAAGGAGCAGGTCATCTTGATAAAGCTCCGGCTGCTGTAGAAGTTCGTCGAGGTCAGCGGGAAGAAGCTGAAGGGGATGCGCCGTGGGCGCCGCCGACTGCGCAAGTGTCGGACCAGGCTGCGGGGTGGCTGCTGGAGGTGCAGCAAGCGGGTCCACTTTGCGAGCCGTCTCAATCTCGGCGAGAATCTTGACGAAAGATCGGAAGAAGGCCGACTCGGCTGCTTCGCACGCCTGACCGATGGCGCGAGCGATGTCGCGCGCTTTGTCCGCAATGGGTGGCGGCGTACGCTTGCCGACCTCGTCGACCGATGCGATGCGGTACATGGCCTTGACCGGCTCGAGTTCGAGAAATTCGTAAATGTCCGGAACAGGGTCGAAAAGGTACTCGCGGACGTATTCCTCGTCCTGTCGCAGGCGATTGTACTCGCGTGAGACTAGGTCCCGAAGGCGGTTGCTCTCTTGCGCGATGATCTGGACGTCCTGTCGGTGACGCTGAGCGGCGACGAGAGCGCCGACTTCGACATGCACGGCGGCGAAAGCTGCGAAGACATGAGCGTCAGGACGCCGACGTCTCGCTCGTAAGGCGCAGGAGGCTCACCGCTGTCTGTCAACTCTTTCGCGACGCGCATGATCGGGTGGTCCCTGAAGGCGTCGAAGTCGAAGCTGCGGACGAACAATCGAGTCCACTTGGTTGTCGAGATGCGAGAAGTGACGAGGAGTGCGACGCACTGGTGCACTTTGTAGCCCTCAGCCTCGAACCGCGCCATGATGTCTTTGCGGCGAGTTTCCAAGATCTTCCGCCGCTCCTCACCCCTGCGTTTCTCCTCCTGCCTGAACCAAGCGACCATCGAGGTGGCGTCCTATGCACGGAAGCGGATCAGCTCGCGCCAGGACCAGGACGACAACTGGGGAGGCGAAGCCGACTCACGGCCACGCGCTTGTTCCTGACAACCGCCAAGTCGTGGATGAAGTCGTCTTTTGAGCTGATGTCCTCCATCCGGCCAAAGCATCTGTACTTGAAAGTCAACGCCTCGTAGCCGTGGTAGGTCCAGTCCAATGCATCGTGGTCTTCTGTCTGGTCGCCCTCGTCGTCGCTGTCCTCCCTGTAGCCGTAACAGTTTCGCATGGTGTCCAGGGCGTCCGTCTGCGTGCGTACGACTCTGGAGAGCATGACAGCGACGTGGCGGGAGGTCGTGAACCGAGTAATGCTTCGTCTTGCGGTCGCCACCGGAACTATCCACTGCAGGTACGGAAGCGGTTGACTGTCAGTCCTTGAAGCCAGTGCTAGCAAAGCGATGGGCAACGTGCTCTGGCTGAACGGGGCAATCTTCAACACCTCCTTCGAGAAGAAGCTCGCCGTCTGCTTGTCGGCCACGCGATCCCTGTAGCACGACGGGCAGGCGCGAATCCTCAGGACCCAGTCAACCTTGTTCGTGGTCTTGCCGCAGCCCTGCGCGTCCAAGCCAGGAAGTCAGCGGACGGAAGCCCTGCTGATCTGTCGAGAGAACCGCGAACTCGCCTGACAGCAGCCGAACATCAAGTTCGCCTGTTGGTGGACACTCATTCCGTGCGCTGTGGGCCTCATGATACCGCTACGCTGCCGCGCATCCGTCCACAAGGTGTGCAACGACTTGTCGCCGCGCAAGAGACGCCAGAATCGTTTGCTGAGACGAGATAGGTGGAAGAGCGTCGGCAAGTCGAGTTCGCCGAAAATGCGCAGGACCAACTCGAGCGGGAGGTCGAGGAAGTCTTTGAGCGCGCCCTTGGCTCGCGGACGAGGAGGAGGTTTGGCGGTCGTCGACGCGCCGCGCTTCTTCGGTGGTGGTGCTGCACGCGACAGCAGTCAGTAGAAGTCACTCGCGCGTAGCAAAGGGCTGCCCACCTTCGTGCTCGCTCTCCTCTTCCTCGTGTGTCTGAACCGCGTCGTACTCCGAGTCCGTGTCCTCCTCGCGCAGCGATGCGCGCGCCTTGAGAGCTGATTTGCGAGCGGAAGTGCGCGTCGTTGTAGCGGTAGCAGCAGTTCCACGAGCGAGTAAGCCGGTGTCGTCTTTGGGAGAGGTGGGGCATGAAGAGTTCCTCTCAACCCACACCCTCACACTCGCTGGGCCAGGCTGTTAGACGCTGGATCGAGCTGATTAGACTGCTACACACGCCCTGACGACAGGCAGATCCGGCCAGCGATGATTCTCTCTCTCCCTCTTCTCCTCGGCCTCCTCATCAGTCCAGCGACCTCGCAGCTCCTCTTCCCCGTCAACAGCGCCCAGACACCCTTTGAGGCGCCTCTCAGAGACTGCGGAGGAAAGGCAGGGCGGCGCTGGAACGAAGCGAGGCCTCCTCGGGTTGCAATCGTCGGTGCGGGAGCAGGAGGTGCGTTCGCGGTCCCTTGTTTGTGTGATCCTGGCTGACGTTTCACCTTTGAGCAGGCTCGTCTGCCGCGTACTTCCTGCGGCACTTTGGCGACCTAAAGGGCGCGGGTCTGGAGACGGAGGTGACGGTCTACGACACGGCAGAATATGTGGGTGGACGTTCGACGGTAAGCAGCTGTTCTCTGGTCAGCCTGGCTACCGCTGCGTGCTGACGGCCTTTGGGCAGGTGATTTGGCCGTGGAACGACGACCCATTCTCCCCGCCTCGCAATGCCAGCGACCCTCCCGTCGAACTCGGCGCGAGCATCTTTGTCAGCGCCAACAAGCACCTCCAAAAGGCACGCAAGGTCTTTGAGCTAGAGGAAGACGCTTACGGTGGTGAGGACGGCGGAATGGCAATCTGGGATGGCGAGCGCTTCGTACTCGAGGAAGAAAAGCTCGGCTGGAGCTGGTGGCAGAAAGCGAAGCTAATCTGGCGGTGCGTCCTTCCCACCCATGGACAGAAGGCTTTTTGCTGACGCCGTGTTCAATCACAAGGTACGGGCGCAGTCCGTTTACAGTTCGCTCGCTCGTCCAGAAGACGGTCGCCGATTTCGTCTCGCTGTACTCGCCCGAGTTCGTTTCTCGCGGCGCCTTCACGTCCGTCTCCAACTTCACCGCAATTACCGGACTGCAAGAACCGGCTTCGCTGTACGCCGACGAGTTCTTCGGCAAGCAGGGCGTCGCCGACCTTTTCACGAACGAGATCATTTCGGCCGCGACTCAGGTGAACTACGGCACGCCCATCGACCGCCTGCACGGCGTCGGCGCGCTAGTTTCGCTAGCCGCGACAGGCGCAGTCTCGGTGCGCGGAGGGAGCCGGCAGATCTTCGAGAACTTCGTGGGGCGGAGCGGTGCTCGCTTGCGTCTAGGCGAGAATGCGCGGGTGCAGTCGATTCTCAAACTCGATGCGCCTCGAAGTGGTCGCGCGCAGTGGGTTGTACGGACGGCGTCAGGCGTGGGAAGCGGGACGTACGATGTGCGTAGTTCCTGTCTGGCCCCCTTCCGTAGGCTGACCTTCGTGTGCGCACAGGCTGTTATCCTTGCAGCGCCCTTTCACCAAACAGGGATCCAGATGGTCAATTCGCTTGCGCCGTCTCGCATCCCGAAGCAGCCTTACGTCCCACTCTACGTTTCCTTCGTCATGACCAAGTACGCCCGTTCCACTTTTGCCTTTGTGAATCCGCTAACTTCTCACTCCCTTGTTAGCGCGTCTGCGCCGCGAGCGTCGTATTTCGGCTTGCCCGAGAAGACAGTCATGCCCGTCGAGATTTTCGGCACCTTCACGACCTCCTCATCTTGCAAGCCCACCTTCAACTCGCTCAACTACCTTCGCGCTCTCTCGCCCGAGACCAGCGCAAGACTCGGCGAAGGCACCTTTCACGTCGTCAAGATGTTTTCGGACCGACCGCTCGAGGCGGAGATGCTCGACGACCTGTTTGGCCAAGGCAACGTCGCAAAGACGGTCGTCAAGCGTTGGCTCGCGTATCCCAAGCTCGAGCCTGTCACGAAGGAGGACGACTTTGCGCCCGTCCGGCCAGACGAGGGCCTCTACTACCCGAACAGCTTCGAGCGCCTCATCTCGACCATGGAGACGGCGGTGAGCCCTCTTCTGCTCTTCTCTGCCAGTTCGAGTCCCTCACAAGTGACTAACTCCCCCTTGCAGACCGTTTCGTCGTTCAATGCCGTCTCACTCCTGCTCAACGACTTTTTCGGCTATGTTCCCCCGACAAGCTGGGCTGAGTGGGACAACGCCTGAGAATGAATCAGCATGTGGAGATCTGTACAGTCTCCTTTCGCGCCCGTAACTAGCCTTTCACAGAAGCCGGCCATCCTTGCGTGGTTGTCCTGCTCCCTCTGCCTTGCCTTGGGCGCTTGGGGGCTTCCAGCTGCCGGCCGCGCCTTGACATCGGTCGACTACGACTAAATGGATTCTCGCTCGACGATTGAAGGCGACGGAAGCGACGACCGCTGATTTTCCCTTTGTTCTACACGCGGCAAATCGCTTCGTTTCGTCCACCGCTTCCCTGGCGATCTCCGACCGCCTCTGCGTCCCCCTTCGGCGCGTTGTGTCGTTGGAGGCTCCCTCGGCGCTCTTGCCTGCGACTTGCTGCCAATCCAACGGGCTTTGCACCTTCTTCGCCTCGACTTCGCAAATTCACCTGTCTCACGGCCTTCCCGCTGCCGGCTCGGGCATGGGCTCGCTTCCCTTTCTTCCCGGCTCCTGCATTCACCGCAAGAGCTCGGCTGTCGCGTGCGCGATCAGATCGACAATTGCTCGAGCCGCCTCGCCTTTCCTCTCCGTTCTCTCGCACCTCTTCGCACTCTTCGTATCTTCGTCGGTAGCGCTGCACTCCGGAGCAAGGGGTGACGGCAGGATCTCGTTCAAAGGGTCAGGCCAATCGTATCCGCCATCGTCAGCTTGACCAGCCCTCGACTCGCTCGAAACCTCGAATGGTTGACAGCGCCTGTGTGCCCTCACGCCCTCAAACCCCCACCGACGTCTACGAGTATGGCAGCGACTACACGACGCCCGCGCCTTCCCTCCTTTCGCGACCGACAACGCCAGTCCTCCTCGAACCTCCTTCTCCTCACCCGCCTATGACCGTCCCGTCATTCTCCATTTGTCGCTCGACTCCCGCTCCGGCACCTATCGTCCTCCCTCCTCCATCCTCGCCACCATTGATACCGACGCCGCCTGGAACGACCGCGCCAGACTCCCCCTCTGCGCTCTCTCCGACCACAACGAAGGAAGTCGACCTCGACCTCGACCCACACTACCTCGCCACGCCCATCCAGCGATCGTACTTCGTGCATCTGTCGGACCTGTTCGAGAAGAAGGCGGTGGAACGGATAGCCGACGCGGAGGACGTCAAGAAGGAGAAGAGCTTGTCGAGGGTGTTGCCGGTCTTGCGGAGGGCGAGCGTCGTCGTGGCAGGTGCGTGTCAGTGCGCTCCGCCAGACAGGCGGATTTGCTGACAAATGGACCAGCAGGAGAGGAAGTGCAGGGCAAGCCGAGTTGGCGGTGTTGTAATCTCTGCTGATGGCCGTTTGGGTTCGAGGTGTACCAGGGTCCGCGTTTCGTATCTGTACAAGCAACATGTAGCCATTCAGAATCCGTACCTAGGCGTCGTCTCCTGCTGCTCCATCTTGCTCCATCATGTCAGGCGGGAGCTCGGGCAGTTGCTGGGCTTCTTGCGCGACGACGTCTTTGACGAGGAGTTGCGTGAGCATGCCTGCGAGCGCGTAAGTATCAGTACAGCCCACTTACGCGCTCGAAAGATCACTCACCGAGTGCGACAAGCGCCGTGCCCTCGAACGCCCTACTGACATCCGTCCAAACCGCCTTCCTCGTTCCAGCTCCAGCCTTCGATATCCTCGACTGTTTCCACGCAAGCCAAACATCCCCCTTGCCTTCTCGCGCCACGCGCTCTTCTTCGTCGTTCATTTGGGCGATCAGGTTGTCGAAGTGCTCGACGAGGGGTTCGGGGAGGAGAGGGTTGGTGAGGGTGAGCGGCGGGAGGAGGTTGTGTCGAGTCTCGAAGAGCTGAGTAGCGTGGTTTTGGATCGAGGAGAGCAAGTCCTGCAGGAGGAAGGCATGTCAGGCGCGAAGTCCGCACGAGGTGGAGCGGCGTCCGTACGGTTGAAGGGAAGCCTGCATAAAGACCGTCAGCGAGTCGTCATAATGAGCTCAACAGGACAGACGCACCTTCTGACAGCTCGGGTTCCTCCAGCGACACCTCGGGCACCTTCAAAGCCTCCTTAATGCGCTTCGTGCGCCGTCGTCCCCTCATCCTCTTCTCGCGCAAGGTCGCGGCCGCCTCCGTATCGCTTCCTCCTTCTTCCGTCTCCTCCACGTCTGCCATGCTGCCGACCGAAGAACTCCTCGCGCGCTTCTTCCGCTTCTGGACGAACCCCTTTTCCCTCAACTCGCGTTCCTCTTCGTCGTCCTCGGCCGCCTCTACCACGACCGCGCCCCTCCTCTCCTTGATGGCCTCCTTGTAGGAGGCCTCGAGCACATCCTGCAAGAACGTCCCCGCCGCGCCGCGCTGAAAGGTGTCTGCCGTTCGCGAGATGAGCGCATGGTCCGAGGCAGAGATGCGACGGGCCTGCAGGTCGACCGGGGGCGCTTCAAGCGGTCGCGATGCGGTGTAGAGTGATGGGAGCTCCTTCGGAGCCTTGTAGACGCGCATTGCGCTCAGCTAGAGCATGAGCGAGCGAGTTGGCAGAGCGAGAGAGCCGACTGGGAGAGTTGGCGTCCACCACACCGCTTCACCGCGCTCTACTGGGCTGGAAAGGCTCAGAATGGCTGCACAGGCTGCTTCAGCGAATCTTACGCCGGCGCTCTTCCGCTCCCTCTTCCCGCAACCCTACCTCGAGCGCTTCATCAGTGAAGGTGTTCGACCAGACGGACGACCAGTGGGAGACCAGGCGGCCTCGGCAGATGCATGGAGGGATGTCAGTATCAACGTCGGTGAGTTGCAGGCTCGTTTCCAGAGGTGTTGCGGCCGGAAGATGTCGCTTCTCCAGCGGTCGGGAAGCAGGAGGGTGACTTGACGGGCTTGTCATGGGCGTGTGTCCCTTCTGGCGAAAGCATTGGCGTCTTTGTTCAGTGCTGTACAGGCTAGAAGCATTTAAGAAGCCCGCAGGAGCCGTCGAGGCTGACTCCCCCTCGAACCTCCTGCAGGATCCGTTTCGACTGCACCTTCATCCGCTCTCGTCCGGCTGGGCAAGACTTCCGTCGTGTGTGGCGTGACGCTGGAGATCGCCCCGCCCGATTTGGCGCGACCGAACGAGGGCTTCATCGGTGCGTCGAGCTCAACAACCAGAGGCGCTTCTCTCGCTGATGATCCGTCTGTACAGTCCCGAACGTCGACCTGAGCCCGCTTTGCTCGCCTTTGTTCCGACCTGGACCTCCGCCTGACGAAGCCCAGGTCCTCTCATCCCGGTTACGCGACGTCCTCCTCTCGTACGCAGTTCCTCCTTGCGCCGGATCCCGCCCACGTAGTGACAGTTCGCATGCGCAGCTCCAACATCCTTCCTCTCTCTTCTCTCGTGATCGAGCCCGGCAAGGCGGTGTGGGTGGTATACATCGATGTCGTGTGCTTGAACTACGACGGAGGCGTGCTGGACGCGGCAGTCTTGGCAGCAGTGGGCGCTCTGCGGAATCGTGCGTTGACTCCCTCCTGCGTCCCTAAAGGTCACTGACGTATCGGTATCACAGTGAGATTCCCCGAGACCACCTTCGACGTCGACACGAGCGAGGTTATCTGCGAGCGTGTGACGGAGGAGCACCCCGGCAGCCGGATATCTGGGCCTCGCGAGCCGTTCTCCGTCTCCTTCGGCGTCTTCAATGGGTGCGTTTGCGGGCCATCTCATCATTCTGCTTGTGCTGACCTCGACCGGACTTTACAGAACCCTCCTCGCCGATCCGACACTCTTCGAGGCCAAGCTGTGCTCAAGCGAGATTACCGTCGTCGTCGGCGCACCGGCGGCATCCTCGACCACGTCTCTCGCGAAGGCACCGCTGCTGAGCGTCTACCAGGCAGGCGCGCCGCTCGAGAACGGGAAGGAAGTGCTGCGACGGTGTATTGCGATGGCGCGAACACGGGCGGCGGAGTTGCAGCAGAGTCTGGCATAGACGACCGTTGTACTGCAGCATGTTCTACACCTTCTGTCGCTCACCTTGCGATCCCTCGCCGACATCGCTTCTCTTCCTCCTCACCCGCTCACTTGCTCGAGATGGTCGGCCTGCTGGACCTCCCGCCCGAGCTGCTAGGCCCAATACTCGAGTTTGCTTGCGACGCTGCGCCCTCCCTCGCCACTAGCACCGCTCCGCTCGTCCTCACGCATCGTTGCCTCGCCCCACTTGCGGTCCCCATACTCTGGCGCAACGTGACCGTGCGAGATACAGCGCAGATTGAGCGCCTCCTGCACTCTCGAGCCTTCCCGACGCGCGCCCGCCTCATCCGCTCGCTCGCCTTCATCCCGCGCGACGTCGATGGTTCTGCTCGAGGTGGAGTGGGAAGGGGGATTGGAACGTCCGACACGGTCGATGGACAGGCTGCGATGGAATTACTGGCCGCTTTAAAGGACGAGTGGCGGGAGCGGCAGCAGCGAGGAGGGCCAGCAGAAGGCATTCGCTCTCTCGACATCGCGAGTGTGGGCTGGTTGGGGCCGGACGTTCTCGAGGGAGAGTGGCTCTCCAGTGCGCTCTCTTACTTACCGTTTGCTCAGGACAACGACGGGCTTACAAGTCTTCCCGCAGACCTTCGCGAGCTCGTCGTCGGCGTCAGCTTGCGACTCCCAACCTCCCGCACCCTTCCCTTTACCTTCTCCTTCCGCCTCGAATCCCTCACACTGCACAACAACCACTGGGAGTCGCTTCCGCACGACTTGTTGACCGCCATCCTTCGAACCGGCCGACCAGCCGCACCGGGACAGGGTCTCAAGCACCTCGACTTGTCCGCGACTTACGACGTGACCGGTCTCAGCAGAACCTTGTCGCAACGGCTTGCGAGGAAAGCGGAAAATGACGAGGCGACCGGCCACGTCGTGATCAGCGGCCTCACCTCGCTGCGTCTCCCGCCTCTCGAAACACAAGACCATCACGGGTTCGCTCTCGCGATTCTCGTTTTCTGCATGCCGAATCTCGTCGGCGAGCCGAAAGGAGCGTGTCCTCGCCAGAAACTCCGGTACCTCGAGCTTCCGCCTCTCGCAGCCGCAACTTCGGGAGCGTACGATGCGCTTTGGGCCGTTGTCTGTGACCTCTCGCTGGGCTCAGCGGCGTCGACGAGGGCAGGAGAAAAGAGCGATGGGTTGGAGGAAGTCGCGCTCCGAGGATGGGCGACCGGCTCTCTCGTCGAAACGGCCAAGGCGGTCCTCGCAGCCGCAGGACTCGATGGCGGCAACTCGCCGATGCGCACCACGTCGCTCAAGAGGCTCAGGTTTACGCGGCTGCTGGCGCCGGAAGAGTTGGGCAAGTTGCCGGGACCAGGAGGGAAGGAGGTACTAGAGTTGGCGGATCAGGCGGGCGTCGAGGTCGTCTGTGGTCCTAGACTAGATTATCCGCTGCAATAGACGGAAAGTGCACCCGCTCAGCCGGACTCCGAGGCGAAGAGAGACTGTTACAACAACGAGAAACAGAGAGAACCCGATGCGCCTCCTTGCTCCGCTACAAGCCATACACGCTGTCCCACTCCCTCGTGATGCCGTTTCCAGCCGGTCCCGCCGCCATGATATCGCTCTCGGCGATGCCCAGCCGCCGCAAACCCGGATCAGGACCCTTGAGGAGCGTCTTGACGTCCAACCTGCTCGGCTTGAAGAACGTCCTCTTGACCGGTCTCCGCACCTCGTGCTCCGCCGCATCCCCATCGACATCCATCATTCCCGCCGCACACTCGTCCTCCGCAGCCGCCAACTTTTCCGCCAGCGCCCTCTTCCGCTCGCGCAGATCTTCCCGCCGCCGCTGACTCGCGCTCGAGATGTAGCTCTCGGCGAGTCGGCGCTTCCGCCGCCAGTGACTGTCGGGATCTTCGTCGTCGCTCTCGTACTCGGCTTCGAGGTGTGCGCCGGGTCCGCCTGCCGCCGCGGAGAGACGAGTTGCGGCGCGCGCGGTCGAGCGGATGCGGGAGGAGAGTCGGACGTCCAGGTCCGAGTCGGCTTCGTCGTCGGTCGTGTCGGTCGAGAGGGGAGGAAGGTCGGCGCCGACTTGGTGGAGCTGGGAGGAAGGGGCGAAAGGGAGGTTGCGGAGACCTTCAAGAATCGAGGCGCTGCGAGAGGAATCAAGTCAGCGCGCCGTCGAAGACAGCAGTAGAACGCAACGTACACAGTCTTGTCCAGGTATTCGCGCGAGTTGGCATTGTCCATGTTGTTACTCGGGACGTCAAGCTTGAACTCGGGGCCGAAGTACTCGATGTACTCGTTGAAAGGCAGGTCGCGCTGCATCTGGACACCGCACGCGATGCCCGTCTCGTACGCCCATGTTCGGGCGACGTTGCGGATCGTGTAGCCGCCGCCGCCGACGATGATTAGCGGGACGTTGAAGGTACGCATGAAGGCGACGCATGAGGCGTGACCTGTGGGAAACCGACGTCAACCGTTGGGACTTCGCGGTGGCCGTGGTCGGAGATGGGGAAGACTCGTACGCACCGTTCATCGAGAGGTTGAACGAGCCGAGCTTGTCGGATGCCAGCGAGTCGGCGCCGCACTGCAGCACGACCGCGCCTGGTCGATACCAGTCCATGATTGCCTGCATGATCTGCGATCCAGGTTCAAGTCAGCGCGGGTAGAGAGGCAGTAGTCTGAGCGAGACGTACCGGCCGGAACACGCTCCGATAGCTCTCATCGTCAATCCCGTCCTTGAGCGGGAAGTTGACCGCGTAACCCTTCCCCCTCCCTCGGCCCTTGTCGCCCTCCGCACCAGTACCGGGGAAGAAGTCGCCGAACTTGTGAAACGAGGCGGTCATGACGCGGTCGGTCGTGTAAAAGGCTTCTTCGACACCGTCGCCGTGGTGGACGTCGATGTCGATATACAGGACGCGCGAGTGATATCTGCGAGACCGCCCGCGAACATGCATCAGCAGACGCCACGAACAAAAGCAGAATGGGCTGAAGCCTGAAACGAGGCAGACGCACCGCAGAAGCTCGAGAATCGCCAACACGATATCGTTGATGTAGCAGAACCCACTCGCTTCTCGCTTCTTCGCGTGATGCAGTCCTCCCGCCCAGTTGACCGCGACGTCGGCCTTGCCCTCGATCAGTCGTCGTGCCGCACCTGTGCGAGAAAAGGTGAGATGTAGGCGAACGAGGGAAGTCAGGTTGAACGCACTGAGGGAGCCGCCGGCTGAGATCGAGCAAAACTCGAATAAACCTTCGAAAGGCGGGCAGTCCTCGCCGATCAAGACTGTAAGGAAAGGGCGTAGGAGGAGGTCAGCGAATCCTCCAGGTGGAAACAACGCTGCCGACAGCAAGTCCTGTACTCACACCGCTGCCCGTGCCCCGTCATCTCGTCAAACGTCTCTGGCGTTACTCGAGCGAGACAGTCGATGTACTCGTCGGTGTGGAAGCGGGTCATTTCGTGCGGCGGACAGCGGTCGGGTTTCTGCGTCGCCTCGAATGGTCAGCACTTCGCTCTCGCGCGAAAGACGCTCAGAAGCAACGCACGAGCACGTCCATGTGCTTGTCGAGCCCGTAGTTGGTGATGAGGTTGTGCGCCATCTTGATCCGGTGAGGCTTCATGGGGTGGACTGGCGGCGACGAGCAAGTCAGCTGGAGCCGCGCTCGCTTCGTGACAAGATCCCTACGCACCCAGGTTGAAAGCGTATGCTCCCACATCGTCTGTTCGTTCGCGTGCGAGCGAGGTCAGCGCCTTTGAAGCGACTTGCGCGGGGTAAGCGAAAGAGAGCGCTCTTCCGCCTCGACAACGCAGCGGGGCGGGGCGGATCGAGGTCTGGGAGTGCGCTACTCACCGTCGTAAAAGTACGCGACTGTCCGCTTGTCCGGCCCGCCTGGCGCGGGCGAGAAGAGCGCAGGCTGGTCTGTCGAGGCCATCCTCGCGCGACGACGACAGCTCGAGGGGCAATGAAAGCGATACTGGCGAGGTCGTACGAGTCTCGAGAATCCAGCAAGCTTGGTCTCTGCGCTGTAGAGCGAGTATGGGCGTAGCGAGTTGAGCCAACCCTCCGCTTTGTGTGGTTGCTCTCCGTCACTCCCAAGCAACGCCGCGATGATGAGCAGCACGTCGCCTGTGGGCGCACCGAAGGCGTCGACACGAGCATCGGCATCGCACCAGGTCAGCACGTCCTTACACGCTCTTCCAACGACCCTCGCTCGCCCCTCCCACACGCTCGACCGTCGGGACGGCCTCACACCTCGACAACGGCTTGGACGGGCTTGTTGTGCGGCGCAGCGGTGTTGTGGGTAGTTCTGGATGGCTCGGTGACAGCGGCGCGGCGCAACGAGGAGGACAGTTGGTCGAACGGCCCCTGCGGGCGACACGAGGTGGTGGAGTGACGAGATTCGCTGACAACGCTTTCTTTTGCGTGTACAGCCTTTCGACGAGGACCCCGCGACTCAGCGATTCGTGATTGGCAAGATTGACGGTGCGCTGCGCTTTCGCGGCGACCTCGTCCTTTCGCTGAACTTGGCTGACCTCGTCTCCTTTCGCTTGGAACAGCTGGAATCGCCGTCTTGATTTCCGACGTGTGTCTGCCGTATTTTGCTTTACGACTGCTACGCAGCTGACCTTGACCCCGTGCCCGCGCAGTCCGTCCACCTCATCGAGTTCCCCTCGCTCCTCCTCCCGTCCGGCGTTGGTCCCGGCTCAATCGTCAACATCGCCTGCACGCGCAACGTTTCTGCCGAGAAACAGCACGCGAGGGAGTTCTGGGACTTGCAGAGGGAGATTGCCGAGACGTTTGGGAAGAGGGAGCCTGAGGCGCCGAAGTTGAGAGTGAGGAACACGACGCAGACGAGCGTGAGTCGGCGTTCATCCAGTCCGGCTCTCGAAGAATCTGCGCATCAAGTGCAGAGTTCTGCGTCGTTTGTGTGTGGCGATCTCCGCTGACTCTCGCTCTGGCATTCGCAGGTCACCCTCGAGTGGGACAAGCTCGACCTCGCCTCTGCGAGCCTCATCAACCTCTCGATCTACCGCAACGGCCAGCGCTTGACGACCATCCCCAACCCCCTCCACAACACCTCGACCAAGCTCTCGGGTCTCCAACTCGACACCGACTACTCCTTCCACCTCGTCCTCAAAACTAGCGCCGGTACCTACACCTCCCCAACCGTCAAGACCCGCACGCACACGATCGACAACACTACCGGTATCTGCGTCTGTTTTGGACTTGTCGAGCCCGAAGACTTGGCGAACGAGGCGAGCGAGGCGGTCAAGCAGCTGGGTGCGAAGAGCGATGACAAGATCCAGATCGATACGACGCACTTTGTGGCGACGTCGAGCGCGAGTAGGAGTAACCCTGATGGCGGGCCGGGCGTCGAGTACCAGAAGGCCGTGCAGCTTTCGATTGTGCGTTCTACGCTCTCCTTCTTGGCGTTCACCCTCGTTGACCGTTGTTGTGTCCGTTCAGCCCATCGTCACGCCCGAGTGGCTCCTCGCCTGCGTCACAGCAAAAAAGCTCGTCCCCATCTCGCCCTACTACCTCGGCCAAACCAACCGCGCCGCCTCGCTCTCCTCCGCACAACTCGTCTCCTCCACCGGCTCACCAAGCTCGACTGCCCTTCCCCTTACGCAGCGACAACCACGACCGGTTGCGGTAGCTGAGCGACCGAGTCAGCCGACTGTTGTGGAGCGGGATGAGGACGAGCAGCGCGCAGAGCAGGTTGCGAAACCGCCTGTCGAGCTGGAGGAGGACGTCGAGGGTCCGCCGGAGGATCAGCAGGCTGAGCCAGAGCTGGAACCTGAGCAGCCACCTGCGACGGAGCCGGCCGCTGAGGACGAGACGGACGCTTCCACCCGGGCAATCAAGTCCGACACCGAGCCGTCGAAGGACGCAGTAGAAGAGACTGCCACACCGACCATTTCCATCTCGCCGCCGCCGGAGGAGACGGTGATTAAGGAGGACCTGCCAGCCGAGGAGTTGCTTCAAGAGCAGGGCTCGACAGGCGCTGGCGATGTGGACGGCACAGCTCTCGAGGGCAAGTCTGACCAGCCAGCAAAGGCGGATGCGGCAGAGGCGGCAGAGAGCGACGTCGAGGAGGACCAGCGGCCGGAGGCTCAGGACGGCGAGTCAAGCCTCGTCGACATTAAGCTCTGAGGAGGGACGGCGGCGGCGGCGAAGGCAGGGTCTGTATGTCCTCTTGATGGATCTGCAAACGAGTGCATATGCCGCGCTCTTTCGCCCGACGAGCGAGAAGTTGGCGAAGTGTCGATCCGTCCTCGTATTCCCACACTCCTCTGTTCTCGCGTGGCTGTTTCAGCTTGATGAAGTGCTGTCCGAGAGTGATCCAGATGCACTGGCAGTCTTCATCGACGCAAGGCCGTCGAGCCTCCGACGCCGGAGCACCTTCGCCTCGTCCCTTTCGACCTCGTCGCCTCGCTCAAATTACGCTTCATTACAGCTGTGGCGATTGGCAGGGATCGCCCCAGCTAGACCCGCAGCCTGCAGGGCTTTATCGCCGCTGTCGACCCGCATGGCTTGCTCGCTCGACTTCCTCATCCGGGTGCGATTGCGGTGGACGAGGAGCTCGTTGCGGGTCTCGCTCTGTGCTGCTGCTGGATCTGCACGGCTGCTCGAGGACCTGGCAGGGCTCACACGTCGACCGGACAACCAGCACCCTCTACTCGCCAACCCTCTCCTCGTCGACCCTCTTCGCTTCTCTCACAGCGCCCACACGGCCTGCGATCGCTTCTCGAGCAGCTCGGCAACTCCAACAGACGCTGGTCGTCTTAGAACATTGCCAGTGGACCCCGTCACCCCGCCTGACATGGCAGACGCACTCGACGTGCCCTCGACCATTGCGACCCAGAGCGTCGCAACCAGCATCCTCACGCCCTACCTTACCGGCCTGACAACGCAGGTCCTCCTCATCGGCGTGTACCTCGCCCTGTTCGGCCGCTTCATCCGCGAAGATTTCGGCCTGCACACGACGAAGGTGAGGGTGGTGGGATGGGTGGTGCTGTTCTTGATCGTGTGCTGTTTGGGGATGGCTTACGAAGAGTTGGTAGATACGGGCAGTGAGTTCGCCTTCGTCAACTCTCTCCTCCCTTCACCTCCACCGTTTCCTCCTCCGTTCTCCGCCTTTCGCCTCTTTTCGGCTCTTCATACCCACGACATTCTCCCCGCGAACCATCAGCCGCTCGGGACCAACTGGACTGACTGATTCTGTTGACCTGCAGTCTCCCAGCAACGGACGAGCGAAGAGCTGTTCGCCGGCCCTGCACAATCGAACGTCCTTCCATTCCTCTCTGGGCTCGTCGCCGCCGTCTGCCAGTCCTTCCTGATGTTCCGCTCGGCGTTGGTACGCTCTCCCCGCTCGAACCGTCGGAATCGAAGCTGATCCCTCGACTCGCGCACAGCTCATCTCATCACGGCCGATCCGCTACGGCTTCGTCGCCGTCACGACGAGCGTCATCCTCCTCGCCCTCGCCGGCGCCAGCCTCTTCTCCGGCGTCGGCTTCCTCATCGTCAACGGACGAGAAGGCCCAGTCGGCTACTTCACTGCCGAAGCGATGTGGCTCTGGTCTAGCGCAGCAGCCGACATCCTCGTCTCCATCGCCCTCGCCGTCACCCTCCACCGCCGAATTGCCGGCTTCAACCAGCAAACCGACAGCCTTCTCCGCCGCCTCATCGTCGTCGCCCTTCAGACGGCTGCCTACACCTCCATCATCAGTCTCGCCGGCGCCGTCATCGCCACTGCGTTCGAGAAGGACACGGCGTACCAGGTTGCTACGATCACGCAGCCCTTCTGGCGTGCGTCTCCTTCCTCGCTTCCTTTTTTCGCTTCCATGCTCATCGATTCTCCCGTACAGTCCCACTCCCTCCTTTGCACGGCATCTCGCTCTACACGACGCTCTCAACTCGCCGTACCATCGCCGCCTCCCTCGGCGCGCCAGGCGGCGTCATCTCCCTCACACCCTCGGCCAACATCCCCTCACTCAGCGCCGGTATGCGCGAGAACGCGCGGCCGACTATCGCCTCCCGCCTTGCCAGTCTACGAGCCGGTCGAAGTCACGGCTCGACAAACCAGACGGGCCAAGGAGGACAAGGGAGCGGGTTCGACACTTCGTCGACGGGGTCGGCCGGCGTCAACGTCAAGGGCTATCGCAAGACGCATGGACCGCTCGAGGTCAAGGTCGAGCGCGAAAGCGAGGTTACGTACGACGACGAGCGGAACGAGCTGGACCGGGCGTTCGTGGTCGAGACGAGAGGGGAGAAGGCGGTGTGAGGGCGAGTTATCTGTATCCGTTCCTGCGCTTTCAGTACAGCGTTATTTGTTGTCGTGCTATCATCATTGTGGTCTCTCGGTCCCTGGGGCTCGAAGGCGAGACAAGCAAGCGCGACTTTCCGATTCATGAACCAAGCTACTCCTCCCGACTTCCGGCGACAACGTGGTACTGACGACTGACGAGAACGGCGAGAACGGATGCGGTACTGACGAACTGCGAGCGAAAGAGCGTCAGCACGACTGTCGAGCAGGAAGAGGGAGAAGGTACGGCTGACCTTCCTAAGCGACTGAACCACAAATGATGCGTTCCTCCTCCTTCGTTCAAGCGACACCTCTCTCCCTCTCAGAGCCACCACATCGCCGGCGGACGCTTCGCCCTCTCGCTGTTCTCGCCGCGGAAGGCGTTCCTCCCGTAGACCGTGTCGTCCAGCCTCGCCTTCGCGCCGACCAAGTCCGCCTCCCTCGACTGGCGCGTCGACTCG